GCCATGAAGGTGACCCTGTGCTCCGGCCTCCCCCTCGCCCTGGCGGTGACCTGCTGCCTGTGCCGGCCAGCGGCCCCGGGCACCGCGGGGGACCCTCACCAGCACCCCAACAGCCTGGCCCGGCGGGACTGGCCCGGGTACCTGTCCCAGGAGCAGCAGCACCTCCTGTCCCAGTTCCTGCCCCATGTCCTCACAGGTACTGGGAGCTCTGGGTGGGCAGCCCTCGGGGGGCACAGCCTGGCCCCTGTGCCAGCTCTAACTGCTGCCCTTGCCCTGGCAGAGTTGAACAACCACAAGGACTACGTGCAGGGGGTCGAGGGGGTGGAGGCCCTGCACGACTACTACTACCCCGACTGGATGGACTTCGGCCGCCGCAGCGCTGAGGACGCGGCCAATGCCGTTTAGCCGCCGGGCTGGGCTGACCACAGAGCACCTGCACGCTCAGTGCACGTCCTTCCTGCAATAAAACTCTGGCACTACAGCCACTGCACTCACAGCTGTGCTGGGGAGAGCTTGGGAGAGTGGGCAGGGTAGGGTTTGCCCCTCGCCCAACTGGGAGGCACAAGGGCAGAGACCCAACCATGCACAGCAGCAGACAGAACATGGAAGCAGACACAGACCACAGCAGCAGGCACAGCACGCAGGAGCTGCTCTGTGACTTCACATTTATTTGCCAGGGGACAGAGCACGGCCTGAGGTGAGGGATGGAGATAGTGGGAGCAACAGCTGCACCCCAAGAAACACCCCCAAGCTGCAGGTGCTGCTACTATTGCTACTCAGTGGCCAGGAAAGAGTTTAAACCACCATTCCCTTTAAAAGCCAGTCCAGGTGCTGGCCAGGGGCCCAGCCCGTGGTGGGATGGTCTCCCCCTGGCACAGGCAGGTTCTCCCAGGACCCACCTGAGCCCAGACTAAGCATCATCCTTTGCTGCAGTGTCTGGGCAGCCCCAAAGGGCTGAGCTGCCCCTTGCTACTTGGACAGGCTCAACAGAAGCAGGAACAGTTTTTATTGCCACCAAGTGGCTGGTGTGAAGGGTCCATATTCCCCCCAGCAGGGACAGGGTCAGCCAACACCCCCTGTGGCTCCCTGCACATGGGGAGCAGAGCCAGGTGACTGCAGCCAGGGCAAAGCCCCCCAGGCTGGTGCTGGAAGCATGGCCAGTCCTGGGGCAGTACCAGGAGCTGAGGCTGAAGCCTATCCTGTTTCCATTTCCGCATGGATGGGCAAGAAAGAGGACGTGTCTCACCCTGAGCCTTGGGCCTCCTCAGCAGCATCACGTCAGGGTGCCCTGGGCCCTCCTGTGCCCTCCCTGGCCACAGGACATCTCCCCTCTGGCCACCACCTTGTCCAGCCCCAGGCGCCGCAGCTTCTCCACCAGGTTCCAGCTGAAGATGCTGCCCCTGGGCAGGGATCCATCCTGCCCCCTGGGCACAGGGGAGGGCCAGGGCTCAGCATGCTGGGGGTCCTGGGAGCAGAGTGAGGGAGCACACCACAATCCAGTCCCTGGTGTCGAGGAGGATCTGCCTTGCTGCAGCAAGAGCCTGAAGCATCCCTTGGGGGTGCTGGGGGGTCCAGGGCCAAGTGCCAGCATGGGGGGAGACTGTCCTGGTGGGGGACTGCTGAGGTTCACCCCCTCAAAGGGCCCACAAGAAGGCACGATGGCATGATACAGACTAGAGGGGAAGAGAGAGCAGAAGTGAGCGTCAGTGGGGGGCCCGGGGGATGCTGCTGCAGGGGCCAGG